ATCTGACTGCTACATCCCAGGCTATTGGTTGAACTTAGCCACAAGCAGTATTGAATATTACTGTCCATTCCACGAGCCTTCAGCTCCCCTCTCAACTCTCTACCCCCTCCTCGCTCCCTCCCTTCCCTCCCCTCACCCTGACCATTTCCCCCCTCCTCGCTCCCTCCCTTCCCTCCCCTCACCCTGACCATTTCCCCCCTGCTCGGGTCATGACCCAACTGTGCAGCGCCTTGGGACGTCCTCCTGACGTGAAAGGCGCTTTATAAATGGAATCTTGTTGTTGTTGTTGTTAAAAGCAATGGGAGCAGCAAAATCTTCAGATTTGACCATTGTGTTTCGCCCACAAAATACACAAAAGACATCTCGACAATGTGATAAGGCGCTAAATCAAATGCAAGGATTATTACTATTATTAAGTTGGAAAGAAGAGGGTGAGGCAAAGATTACACCTCTTGCAATATTCTCACTGGTTGCAGAGAGGGGCATTTCCAATTCTGCTTCAAAGGATATTGGCTTAACTCAACCGAAAGCCTGTGAACCAGGAATCCATCTGCTGGATCAGAAAAAAAGAATCAGACTATTGAGAGGGAAACAGGTTCAATTGGACACTCATTGTATTGCTGTTTGTGAACCATTTCTGGCTTAGATTAGCTGTAAGGTTTGCATTTCATAAAAACAGTCATTCCACTTAAAATGTATCACATGCCAATGCTAAGCACCAACAAGTAACTTATTTATTTTATCAACTATCTGGAATATGTTAATCATTAGTTGGAGTTCAAACCATTAAGACAAATTACTTGCTGTGTTTCAGTAACGTTTTCAGACCAGGATAAGTATGTGTATTTTAATATTTATTTTTAATTCTGTTGCATTGTTGGCAGCATCTGAGTCAATTCCCTCCAATTGTATGGAAACATGGATTTATTTGGTCTGGAAAAATGTCTAACTTTTGAACCTCATCTATTTCTACTCACATTACCTAATAATTCATAGGTTGTAGAATGTTTCTCTGAGAGAGAACCTTAGTCAAGTTAAATGTAAGAACAGGAAACTGTTTGGAATAAAAGCTCTTACAGCAATGTCAGAAATATAATATTAAAATATTGCTGCTGCCTGTGGAGAGATCATCTTGTGTTGATCTTTGCTTATTCACAGCTGTTTCATTGATCGTATAAATCTACACTTCTCGGACGTAAATTCCACAGATGAAGCAGCCAGATGTCTGTGAGTGCAGGATGACGTTTATTCATTTCCAGAGAAGAAAGCATTGCCTTACTATGTTAATTGCTGCCATAAGGAGAGGGCCTGGATTATTGATGTTTGCACATAGAATTGTAAAAACGTTCATTTTACAAATGACCAAGTGAAAAGGATATTTGTTGTGCAAGATTGCAATGTAAATTAAAGGAATATCTAAAACATATCAACATGAATATTCTACGCAGTTAAGAGCCAATATCACTCAGTACCTTAAACTTACTTTGGTTAATAGTCCATTTTACAGTTCCATAAATTTTATAGGTTGGATTTTGCAATTGATTTGGCAGGAAATCTATTGGGATTATTTATATTGCAATACAGCAGTTCTCTCTTGTAGGGAAATGGTAGTAGAGTTAAGCAACAAACAACCTCCATTCTTATGCAGGAAATAAAGTCTTCCAACAGATTTTCCCCAGTGGTGAAATGTACATTAGAAAAGTGAAAAATCTTACTGAAAACAATATTTTATAGAGCCAGGGATGTAGCCACTTGAGAGTGTTTGCTGATCTCCTTAGCTGCAGCAGTTGAGGTGCTACAAGAACAACAACAAATTACATTTGCATAGGGCCATTCACGTACAATTGACCTCCCAATCCCTGTGACGAAGGGAAAACTCAGCCCGGTTTCCTGCTCCTGATCACTGGGCAGAGGCCTCTGCTGTAAGTTGTATTATACGTGGATAACTGTCCATGCTCGGCTGTATAGCCTGTCAGCACTCACTGTCAAGGCTCACTTCCTGATGATGGATTTGTGGGCAGGCATTACACATGCTCATTTAACCTTCATGGTTAGAAAGAGAAATACTGAAAGTGAAATACATCTCCAGAAGAGGAGAAGGGAAAATTGGAAGAAGAGAGAAGAGCCAGACCCTGAGCAGTCAAACTGATGCAGAAGATCCTGAAAAATATGAAATCAAAAAGCATCACCATATCAAATATTATCTATTTAATGGAGGGGCATCATTTGCTGACAAAACATCACTATTAATCCATCCAGTTGATATTGGTTTCTTTAACCTGTCAACACCTAGGAGATGTGAACATCAGTGTGATTAAGGATGGGAATGGATAGGAATATATTGTTACTATATCAGGAAATCTCTGAAAACAAAGAAAACCAACTTGTTAAAAAGAAAGGGGGAAGTAGCATGAGTCCAAAGTGATAAGGGAATTGGACTGGGAACATCCTCATCTATCTCCAAATGTGTGAGACCACATTATAGAATACAATGGTCAATCTTTAAATGATCAGAATTAATTGGGATTGTAAATGTCGATGGGAGCACCAGGCCAGAAAGAACTAGGATAATAAATATGATTTTAGAGGCAATATTGTAGCTTAATGCTTAATAAATCTATTGAAATTCTTTGAGGAGTAACTAAATTATTGAATGAGAATATTCAGCACTTGTAAATATACTTGTATTTTTCCATTGAGGGTTATATTTCTGGGTTTTAAAGAAGGCTGGATTAAAAACAAACTTGGCAATAACAAAGCAAAGGTTATGATAGATGAGGAATGTGTTGTCTGTCTAGAAGCATTGACTGGTGGAGTTTGCAACTCATCTGTTCCATTTCCTCTGGTATTCACACTCCTTATAAATAATATGAAAAAAATGTACTTCTAGTAATATATTTGCCACCAGCACCAAGCTATTTAGTCGAAAGGCCAGTGTAGAAAATATTAAAAGCAAAGTGATCTGACCTAAGAAAACATTCAAGTAAATAAGGTAAAGTACCATTGCTACAATAGGTGTGTGCAAAATAACTCCTTGCCCATTACAAAAAGATGGGGAAAAAATCAATGATTCACTCAACATATCCATTCACAGCAAGATTGTGGCAACCTGTCAGATCAAATTATGAGATTATATATATATCAAGATTATTTAGCTAGTGAGTTGAAATATTTTATTTTTTCCCCAGGATGTTTCATGATGTGGTTATATTTGGAATATTGTATATAATTTGGGGCTTCTTAGGTTCAAAGGAACATTGATCCATTAGCTAGAAGGAGCAGTGACATATTTAATCCTAAACTATTGGTTCATAATGATGCATTGGATTTGCTCTCCATGAATAAACAGAGATCCAGAAGGACCTGATCAGGTTTCAAAATCCTGAAAGCAGCAACAACTTAAATTCACATGGGACCTTTCATGTAATGAGGGCATCTCAGAGAACTTCACCCGGCTGACTGGGAGCCTGAGCTGATGAGGGAGGAGGATAAGGTGGACAAAAGCATATTCAAAAATGATGAATAATTTGGATACAATTGACTCACTGGCTCCTTCTGAGGCTTGAAATAATTAATGCGTGTGGAGTCCTGTACTTCAGTGGTTAGAGCACTCATCTCGCAAGCGAGAGACCTGGGTTTGATTCCCTGCAGGACGAAATGTTGGGCAAGTTTCCTTACTCCACATGCCTCCGTTTACCTAGCAGTAAGTAGGAACCCAGATGTTAGTCGATTGGCATCTGGGGGTAATAACTCCATCAAAAAAATAATAGATTGGTCACTTCAATCCACAACTGTTTGTGGGACACTGCTGTGTGCAATTGGCTGCTGCATTTCGCCCACAAGATATACAGTCAATTCACTTTACAGTGTATTCTGTGAAGTGCTTTGGTTCCTGAATTTTAAACTTTTGCAATTTTAACTCTGTCTCCTGGCAATTACCTGCCACATATTTATGAATAATTGACTTGCAAGGGGAAGGAAATGTTGATAATGACTGGTTTGGGAGGACACTTAGATTGGACCCAATTGTCCAATGCTGAAGTGATCAGAAGTAAGAAACAAAGTACCATTTGTACCCTTTGTACATAGGAAATATAATCTAAGTCTTAAATAAAAATGATCATATTAATCTCCATATTTTGAGTGTGACTACAACAGGGATAAGTTAGATAAGGTAAGATAGAAGGATCTAAAATAAAAGATTTCCAGTGAAATCTTTAATGAGGAATTCTGTAAGAAATCCAGCAGGAACTCCACTCCAGAAATGATTGTGTCAGAGCACAGTTTCCATAAATCAGTGTACTCTCTTTTACAAGGAAAGAATTCCCATTTGCGTAACTTGGATTCTTTACAACGATCTGTGATGTACTACATTTTAGACTCTATTGTTTTGAAGGTCCGGAAATTATGCCCATCTGTTAACTTGAAAAAAATGGTCACTTAATTGTTTGTGAGACACTGCTGTCCGCAATTCGCTGCTGCGTTTCGCCCACAACATACATAGTCAATCCACGTTACAATATATCCTGTGAAGCACTTTGAGACGCCTCAACAATGTGATAAGTCGCTATTTCAAATGCAAGGATTATTATTATTAATTTAATTGGCAAACTCAAATGCTTCATAGCACAATCGTATAATTTTCGAACCTTAAGTGCAAACCTAAATGACAAATGTTGCCAATCATTTATCTTAATTGTTTCTATTTGTCTGGTTTTCAAAGAAAAGACAGCGCTGAGCCACCATAATGGTATGGGTTACTTCAGGTGGCAACAAGGTTTGTTAGACCAATATTCCACCAGCTGGGAGCTAATTTACTTAAGATGCTCTTTCTCTCATATTTCTACCTCCACTGAGCTGGTTGGCAGATAGTAGTGAAACCTATTTCATGTCATGCAAGAGCAATTTTGAACACTTAAGATTCTAGTAAAATGCATCAGACTACGGTATTTCAAAAGAATGTTGGATACTAATTTATTTTCTTTATTATTTTCTTATAGATCTGAAGATGTTAGCCTTGCTTTATCTGGCAGGCTTGGTGCACTGTATAACCAGCCAACCACTTATTAGCAAAATGAAAGGAAGAAGAGAAACCGCCAATGATTTTTCCAGGTTAATATGTAGCGTGCCTGGCCTGCCTGGACCTCCAGGGCCTCCTGGAACCAATGGAATCCCAGGCCCCCATGGGCGTGTTGGCCTGTCAGGGAGAGACGGGCGAGATGGCAGACAGGGTGAGAAGGGTGAAAAGGGGACTTCAGGTAAAGCATTTGAACGTACTTTTAAATTAGGTGTCACAGTGTTTTACCAGTTGTTTTGCTGAACCAACTGTATAAAAATAAATGATGGACAAGGCAGGAGCATTCTCTTTGACACCTGAATATCACTGGAGCCAGTGGGATCTGCAGAGGAATTGGATAAATTTCGACAGGATATTTCATGGAATCTGAGGGATAATCTCACCACATTCATTGTGGTTTAACGCCAGACAAAGCTCATTGAAAACTCATGAAAGGAAGGTCAAGCACTGAAAATGCTTATGGAATAATTGAAGTCAAAATTGACTTCAATCTGACGTGAAAGGCACTAAACAAATGATTATTATTATTATCGCCCAGTGTGTAATGTGCTGTATTTTAAACGCCAAAGAAACAATAATCAATTAAAGATGATGTTGTCCCCCCCTCCCAGCTCTGTGACAATGATTGTCTATTGCCAGCCATTGCACATTTGGTCCGCAGTGAGCAATCCTGAGTTTCCAGGATACCAGTTGAACTTGAAAACAATTAGAGTTAAACCCTCTTCAGATAGACATTAAAGATCCCATCCAGAGCAGCAACATAGTAGAATTCCTTATCAAGCATTCCTGATAAGAAATATCACACATTGGACCTCAGCATTGTAAAGGTTATCAAAGATCCACTCCCTACTTAAACCCATCCAGTATAACTTTCGTCCTGCCCCCTGCAAAGAGACAGCGCACGTCTAAATGACGCTCTCTCTCTGTGACCAAGGCTCCCTCTGCTCATTCTCCGGCATGAAACTCCGCTCCCCGATCACCCCAGTCCTTGCCAAACTGCACTGGCTGCCTATCCCAGAGAGGATCAATTTCAAGATCCTCACCCTCGTATTCAAGTCCTTGCACTCCTCTGCACCCCCAACCTCTCTGACCTCCTCTCTCCTCAAAATAGCACCCGTTGCCTTCGTTCCTCCGGGTTTGGCCTCCTCCTTGTCCCCCGAGATTTCCGCTCCACCCTTGGCGGCCGTGCCTTCAGCCACTACGCCCCAAGGCTCTGAAACTGCCTTCCTCACTCCCTTCGTCTCACTCCCTCCCTTCCCATTTTCAGGTCTCTGCTGAAGACCTTTCTTTTCGACCGCGCCTTTTGTCACCTTCCTCCCCCTCCCCCTGGCTCGGTTCTGGGATCCGTTACTGTAAAGCGTTCTGAGACACCGTCCGGCGTGGAGGGCGCTATATAAATCCAAGTTGTTGTGGAAGTTGTTGTTGGACCTCTCCACCACGGTTAACACAATTGAACACCCGTCCTCCTCTACCGCCTCTCATCCCTCATCCACCTTAGTGGGACTGCACTCACATGGTTCAAATCCTATTGTATAATAATAATAATAATACTTGCATTTGATATAGCGTTTTTCACGTCTTCTCAACATCTCAAAGGGCTTCACAGAATAGACTGTAAAGTGAATTGACCATATATATGTGGGCAAAATTTTACCAACCTGCAACATCTCAGCAAATGTTTTTTCCTCCCACCCCCACCAGCCACCTACAGGGTATCCCAAGGCTCCATTCTCGGCCCCCTTCTTCTCCTTATCTACACGCTGTGTCTTGGCGATGTCATCCGCAGACATGGGGTCAACTTCCACATGGGGTCAACTTCCACATGTATGCGGATGACACCCAAATCTACTTCTCCTCCTCCAGCTGCAATTCCCAGTCCACTGATGTCCTGTCAGCTTGTTTGATAGACATAAGACCTGGATGAACGCAAATTTCCTTCAGCTGAATGTCGGCAAGACGGAAGCCATACTCTTCAGCTTGCGTCAATGTCTTCTCTGCTGCAGGACTGAACTCCTCAACCTCCACTGGCTCTCCCTCAGACTCGCCAAACCCATGTGCAACTTAGGCATCAGGTTCGATCCCCAACTTTTCTTTCTACCCCACATCCTTTCCCTGACCATGACCACTTTTTTCCACCTCCGTCACATTGCCCACCTCCATTTGCACCTCACAACCAACGCAGGCGAAACCCCTGTCCATGCCTTTGTCACTTCCAAGCTGGACTATTCTAATGCCCTCCTTGTTGGTCTCTGCAGCTCCACTATACACAAAATTCAATTAATTCAAAACTCCGCCATTGTTGCATTTCTAATTTATGAAGTTTGGGTCAAGACTCAGAAACAGAGGGAACCAGATACTACTATCATTTCTTTATAACTCTTGCTTCTTTAACATACCTCTTACAATTCTCTATTCTTAAACATACCTGCTTTGTATTTCTTAAAACTTGAAATATACTTCCTTTGTATTTCTTAACACTTTCTAGGCAATTTTGTAATTGTTTATTTTTAAATAACTGTTTGTATTTATCGGTACTACATCTTTCTTACCTAAAGTAAATCATGAATTTCTTCATACACTTTTTGCCTGCCCATGAGTGTTTTTATACACCTTCACATATGCCCACTTTTCAGATTTCCAACATACAAGGTTACGGAAGACTACAATATAGTCTCACAACACCTCTATATATTCACACTGAACTCAGACTGAAAGAGTTAATTTTTTATTTTTTTTGCTAACCTTTTAAAGCAATACATTTAAAACAATATCCAGATCTTTTGAATAATTCCTGTATTAGCCTGGATCAATTGGTCAGACTATTGCCCCTGAGTCAGAAGGTTATGGGTTCAAACCCTACAACTTTGAATTCACAAGTCTAGGCAGACACTCCAGTACAATGTTAGAGATGTGCTGTATTGTTAGATGTGCCGTCTTTCAGATGAGATGTCAATCCAATGTTGTGTTCTGTTCAGGTTAATGTTACTGTATGAAAAAAGAGAGGAGTTTCTCCCAGTGTCCTGGCCAAGATTCCCCCAAACACAATTAATCATTCATTTTATGGCTATTTGGGGACATTCCTGTGCAAAAAATTGGCCATGTTTGTCTACGAAGTACAGAGTCACTACACTTTACAGTATATGATGTATATAAGTGTGAGTCCTGTAGCTTAGTGGTTAGAGCACTCGCCTCCCAAGCGAGAGACCTGTGTTTGAATCCCGGGTAAGGCGAAACATAGGGCAAGTTTCCTTGCTCCACATGCCTCTGCTTATTACAGTAAATAGGAACCCGGTTGTTAGTCCATTGGCGGTAATAATACTTTTTTTTTAAAAATGTGGTCACTCAATCTATGACTGTTTGTGGGACACTGCTATACTGATGTGTTTCGCCCACAAAACACATAGTCAATTCACTTTACAGTATATTCTGTGAAGCACTTTGAGACCTCTTGATAACGTGATAGGGCACTATATCAAATGCAAGAATTATTATTAAGGCTTGAGATGTCCTAATGTGAAAGCAGAAAGTGTTGTTTGTTTCAGGAATAAATTAGATAGATAGATTTCTGTTAGAAAATAATATTTCGGGATACAATATATAGTTTGGATCATGACTGCCAGGATAGTGGAAGGCAAACTGGATGGACCTTGATCTTCTTTCGCCTAGCAAATTCTTATGTTCTTAAGCGTTATATCAAGTGCAAGGATTTTTTTNAAAAAGGTAACCGCAATACATCCCATTGCAAACCTTCTGTGTGACTTAAAAAGACTTGTTGTCCCTGTCGTCTAATGGTTAGTATTTGGCACCCTCAGGACTGTGACCTAGTCAGGAAATATTTTTTTTCATCAGGAAGTGGCACAAAAGGCTGAAAGTAAATTAGAATAAGCAAAGGGAAATATCTACATATTTAAATTTGGTGTTAGTTATGCCATGAAGTTCAATGATAATTCAGTAACAATAAAAGAAAACAAAGTTGGCACTTCAATATAGCAGTCAACTTTTTAAACATATGCCATGTGTAAACCATCTGCAAACACACATGTACTATTTGTCGTAGCTCAGTGGTTAGAGCACTCGCCTCACAAGCGAGAGAACTGGGTTCCATTCCCAGCAGGGTGAAACATTGGGCAAGTTTCCTTACTCCACACGCTTGTTTACCTAGAAGTAAGTAGGAACTCGATTGTTAGTTGATTGGCAGATCACTTTTCCAGGGGTAATAATAAAAANTAATAATTTGGTCACTCAATCCACGCCTGTTTGTGGGACACTGCTGTGCACAATTGGCTGCCACGTTTCACCCACAAAATATGCAGACAGTTCACTTTACAGTATATTCTGTGAAGTGCTTTGAGACGTCTCGAAGACATGGTAAGGTGCTATATCAAATGCAAGGATTATTATCATTTTCCATCATATGTAAACCCTTAATTGTATAATTTACCAATCCTTTCCATTGGTTATTAATGACATAATTAAGCACATTTGTGATTCCCTCTGTACATATGTGTTTATGTACATATTTACACATGACACTTTTTTTAAAGTCAGCTGGGATTCTGACACATGTAATAACCCACCACCATGCTTAAGAATATCGAAACCAAACAAGGTTCCATGTATGATACTTACACAAAGAAATTATCTCTCGCTGGAGGGATGCATCTTGCTTACCTAATTCTGGAAAATATTAGGCACAGGTTGGCAAGAGACAAGGTTTGGGTGCACTGGGGTACCCCAAGTTTAACTAGTTAAAACCACTGTTAACTGAAATGGGTCAATTCTGTATTTAATTCTATTTAATTTAAATACATTTTTTGATTCAGAAATTTGTGAGTGATACGGAAAGGTATAGCTACCAATCCAGAGTGCAGAATATACAGTTACACAAGTTTTCTTATTAGTTTCATACTTTCTCTTCTTACTTTTCCTGTGTGTCTGTTCCAACTTCAGGATGGTTAGTAACCGATTATACAAGTTTTCACAACCTTCAAGACCATCTGGTTTATTTTGCTGATATAGTTTCCTTGTTTTTACTCATCACCCCATAAAGACTATCTTATTAAAAAATTCAATGGATGTATTTCCATTAACTACTCAGTACCGGCCTACTGGTCTTTTCTAGGAAGGTTAGCAGTCAGTGCTTTCACACAACAGTATAGACATACAGGAGTAACATTTCCA